AGCCAATAAATTTAAAGCAAAGTATAAAAGTGTTATATTAAGGCTTTAGAAATTAAAAAGTAAAATAGTCATTTCCCTATGCAACTTTCTCCCCGTCAAATTAAAATATTTTACACACACTGAAACGGGATTAAGGTATCCCAACATGTTCAGAGTAATTTATTAAACATAGCAGGCTAAAACCTAATAAATACTTTTTAAAAAAATCAATACCAATGAATATGAATGTTTATTTAGCTATATTTAATAAAAAATACCTAACTTTTACAAAAATAATAATTATAAGTAAAATTGTAGCAATTAAAAAATCCTTAAGGCCGTAATAGGAAAAGTAACAAATTTACATCAATTAAAGTATTACTAACCTAAACTATAACAAACTATAACTAAACTAACATAAACATTTGTCTAGGAAATGTACTAAAATTTTAATGTTTTATTGAAAAATAAAAATATTTAGAGCTGATCGAATAAATATTATTATATATATATATATATATGTATATATATATATATATATATATATATATATATAAGTAATAACTGAGAAATAACAAGCCATAACACAAAAAATATTTATACAATAAGATTTATTTCAGTACATTCTCTAGAAAGTAATACAAATATCAGATTCAAAGATTTATATAGAAATACATATATAATATTTTGAGTAATCAGAATCGTCGTGATAGTCTTTAAAGATTTTTAACACAACTTCTGGTAGATTCAAGACCCATTTCCGATTTTCTAAACTATGTACTAACAATTTACTATAATTCTGCTTCTATCTAATGTAGAAACAAAATAATATACGTATGTTTTGTAAAGGCAAAAGAGATTGCTTTATTCAATAAAATAATTTTAAAAAAATGCATTTGTTTATTATCGAAATGGGTTATCTCAATGTGTTCGGATGCCTTATGTACATATATTAGTCCAGTCATATTAGGGTTTCACTGCGGAATGAGAGATAATAAGTTAAAAATTGGTATCGACCTTTATTTTGGCACTCTAAATATTGTCTCAAAAGTCTCATAAAATTTCTTGTTCACGTCTTAGGATATTTAAGGTCAAAGGTAAAAAAATCGGGTTTTTTTGCAAATGTCTCTTTTACTATGGCTTAATGCTATTTACATTTTATATAAATATTGTAGAGAATAAAATTTTTCATTACTTTTGTTTGAAACATTTTTTATACATCAAACCATTTTTGAGATAAATGGTGTTAAACGCGCAGCGTTTTGCCATCTATAGCATAATGCAAGGTCAACCGTTAGTCACATGACATAATACGCCGTATAAAGTCTAAAAGCCTTAAAAATATACGTAGTTAAAAACATTTGGCATTTTTTATTAATTATGACATTACATTTTGTAATAGATTTCATTAATCAAGTATATATTTCTTTTATAACTAACTTTTGAACTACACTGTTCGTATAGTTCAAAAGTTGTTGACAGATATATGCTTAGTGTATTTTTTTAATTATATTCTATTATTAAATATACTAATTACATTTAAAAGAGAGAAAAATAAAGCAAATAATTTTTAATTATATTTTTATTTAGAAATATCGTGTTATACAATTATTACAGGACAGTTTTCTTCTTGGAATACTTGGGCTAGTTGATCTAAATTTGGAAGATTGTCTAATATTCTAATAAAAGTCCCCCCCTTTTTTTTTTTTTAAAAAATGCAGATTTCATGTCACAGCCACTAAATGTGTGCAGAAATAAAATGTGCTTTTTACAATGCAGAGATATTTATCGAAACTTTTGTAAGAGTATATTTGAGTTTTAACACTCCCTTTGCCCACTTTTTTAAAGAACACTTATTCTTGATGTGATTGAGTACGTCCAATTAAAATGACGATATCTTCTACTATGATGGCTGTCTTATGTTGTTCCGATTCTTCAATAGCTGTTTCTACGGTAAGAACATCTACATCACTTCTGGCCTGTTTTTGTCGTGGTATCAACAGATACTAATTTCCTTTTAGAGTAGTAGAGACTTGAGAGTAGTAATTTCAGAGTAGAGAGGTTGATAAAAAGTAATTAAACACGTTTTTGCCGCGCAATGTAAAGTAGTATAAATTGTGTCTACATTACTGGCAGGATGATCAATAAAAGAAAGAAACATAACCTGAGAAGAAGAAAAGTCATTATTATTTTTAGTGAGCTATTCGAGAATGCCATTCCACCCAGACAACGATGAAATATTCTTCCACATTTTCCGTATAACCACAAAAAATCAACTCCATTAAAATTCTTTTCTGTTAATGCTCAATCCTCATGTAGATTTTTGACTTGAATTCTTCTGTATCCAGGAACAATTGGTTTTTCATGTGCTAGAAGAGACTTTATGTGATATTGCTGCTAACTCTTTGGCACTTGGTTTGGTTGTACATCTTTGTATACGGTCAATATATATCTTTCGGAGTAAAAATCTTAATCATCCCCATAACATGGAGAGCATTATCATCAAGAGTATGGACATTTATATCGGCATTGTCTCCAACATATCGTACCAGCGCGCCTGTTTCGGATGATAAGATACGAAGCTGTGAATGGTAAGCTGTTGGAATTTCATACTGTACAGTCTTACCATACGAAGCTGCAAATCCCAAGCTATATAGTACATCTATTAGTCTTTCAGATCTATATCTTCTATGAAGACACATACAGAAAGGCCGATGTAGGCCTTTCATTTTTCTTTTCATCGAAAAGCCGATCATTTTCATTAAAGCTGAAAATGATCGATCTTGTAATGCAGCCATTATTGTATGGTTGATTGACGTGCATTTTGTTTTTGAATGAGCTATTTTTCTTTTTCTGTTTTTCTTTATGACTTCCTGTAAAAAATGCAATAGGCTTTTTGGAATTTCTTGAATAACCTTTCCTTATTTTCCTTGATCACCATTTTACTTGGAGATAGATAACACTTGGTTTCAACGACAGATGACCGAATGTCTTCACAAATAATAGCTGCAGCAGCTTCTACAATTCGTAATCGCTCTTCTTCGGGATCCCTTTTTTATTATCATTCCAAGCTTTTGATAATATATTAGCTTGTGTATCCCGAAAAAATATGATTATAAAAAATTTTGCTTTTGTGTGATTATTATAGAAGCATATATGTCAAATACTTTTTTGAAGTCTCGTAATTATAGTTTTATCATTTGGTACATACCCCGTGTCAGGACATCCCTGAGCTCTTTCAATGTAAATTGCGAATCATTGTGATTTCCGATGTAATTAAAAATCTCTGCCATAGCTTCTGAGACTTGATTATCTTGGCAAGGCTTCTTTTCAGTATATGGTAGTCGATTTAAGAAATTAGTCTAGCAGAGAGAATGATATTTTGCTTCAGAAGCAATCAAATCATACTCAGAAAGTGTACGAACTTTCACTAATTCTCCTATAGAATAACTAAGTTCTGCTTTTTTTAAAGCATTTTTTTTAAATTGAAAAGTACTCACTTTAATGATCTTGTGCCTGTACTTCTCTTTTTTTTTAGTCTCTGTTGCTTCCTCAGCTACTTGGCCCCAAAATAAACAGAGCTTTTTGAAATCAAACGCTTCACTTCTTTTTTATGGTACACTAGGTGTTGATAAATATTCGCTGTTTTCAATGTGTCACTTCGATGTTGAAATCGAATTTTTACTAATGTACACTTTTCGGCGCTCGGTCTATACATTCTCGGGGGTTGAAGAATTTAAAAATTCTATGTGACCGTCATTTTTTTCGATACTGGCTGCTTTCAAAGCTTTTAAACCCCGCACTGCATTAACAGGATCACCTTGTGATAACGATTCATTACATATAAAACACAAATCAGTCATAACTCTCAAAATTTTACGTCTGTCGTTGCCAAAATACAATTTAAAACAAATGAATAAACGGAGCTAGAAGAAACTAGTTTGTTGAAAAGAGAATCTGTCTTTACTATACACAGCTAAACATTTGTCTTTTAACTAGCTATAAATAGAACGTTCGTATAATAGGGGTCCACAGGTCCAGTTTTTATCTGTACAGAAAGAAACAAATTGGAAGGTTTATACATTTTAAAGAAATTGTACTTCATTTTTTCCACTTAAAATGTAATTAGCATAGATTAAAATATAATTAAAGTCTATAATTTCAGTTAACTATTTTTAATTACATGTGCAGATGAGGGTTATTAAGAAATATACTTGATTAATGAAAGCTATTACTAAATGTAATGTAGTAATTCATAAAAAATGCCAATTGTTGGTAACTAGATATATTTTTAAGGTTTATAGACTTTACACAGCGTATTATATCATGTAACTAACGGTTGACCTTGCATTATGCTGTAGACAGGTAAGTGACACGCGTTCAACACCCTTTATCTCAAAAATGGTTTGATGCATAAAAAATGTTTCAAACAAAAGTTATAGAAAATTTTATTCTCTACAATATTTATATTAAATGTAATTAGCATTAAGCCATAGTAAAAGAGACATTTGCAAAAAAAAACCCCGATTTTTTTACCTTTGACCTTAAATATCCTAAGACGTGGACCCGAAATTTTATGAGACTTTTGAGACAACATTTAGAGTGCCAAAATAAAGGTTTATACCAATTTTCAGCTTATTATCTCTCATTCCGTAGTTGACCCTTATTTTTGACTAATATGACTGGACTATATTGTGTAAGGTTCAAGTAACAATAATAATCATAAAACGAGTTATATAAGAAAAATTAAGTCGATTCCTTCTTAGGTCAACAAAAAATACTTTTATCTTACAATTAGTTACTTTTTATGAAATAATTACAATTAGTATGTATATACATACGACAGAATCACAACATTAAGTGGCAAAATAGAAAGCGATTTTCCTTGCAATTCTCCGTTTTCCTTTCTATATAGGGTGCAGGACTATTATTTTTGTTTGTTTCTTTTTATTCATTAGTTAAATTGAATTACTTTAATAAAATAGTATAGTAAAAATAATTCATATTCTCAGAAATTGGGCCATCCCAGATGGGCTTCAAACCCACGACCTTCGTATTAGAAGTCCAAAGCGCGCGCGCGCGCTCTCCATGGCGCTACAAGGACACAACGAGCGAATTTCTTTTTGATATATGGTGTTGGATTATTTTATTTTGTTTATTACTATTTATTCATTAGTTAAATATAATTAATTAATTAATATTTTAAAACCTGTATGAGCATCAAGTGTCATCCATACTAATTTAAAAAAATGTATTTGATCTTGAGTGGATGAATAGAATATTTTATTAACGATTGAAAATTTGCACAAGATATATATATATATATATATATATATATATATATATATATATATATACACTGGTGTGCAAAACTTAAGCAACAATGTAAAAATTAAGCAGGTAACCATGAAATTGCAGAAAAGGAGGTCTGGAGATCAGTACAATGAGCACGTAAGTCAGTAGAAACGTCATGCGTATGCAAATATCAGGAACGAAACGTCAGAAGCGACGTGAGCGTACATTAAACGCGTGATGTCGGCGCGTGTTGTTCAACAGTAAAATAAAATGAAGGACGCAGACGCAATTCAACATATTCGCTGTAAGTGCCAGTGAGTCAATTCGTGAAATATGGCTAGAAGAAATCACCTGGACGACTTCACACGTGGAAGAATGATCGGAAAGCTGGAGGAGGGGCGTGCCGTCACCAGTGTAGCTGCAGAGTTCGGAATCAACAAAAGTATCGTTTCGCGCGCTTGGAAAGCGTTCCAAACCACAGGTACAGCTGTTAGAAAGGTTGGTGGTGGCCATCCGAGGACGACAACGGCAGGGGATGACCGATATATCATCCTGCATGCGAAAAGAGGCCGACGGCAGTCAGCAAGCGTCATTGCTCAGCAACTCTCTACAGCAACGGGGTGACAAGTGTCGTGGTTTACTGTGGCCAGACGCCTACACAAAGGGGGCCTATTCGCCCGCCGTCCTGAACGCTGCCTCCCGTTGAAATTTGACCACCGACGCCACCGTTTACAGTGGTGCAGAGAGCACAAAAATTGGACAACTGCCAATGGAGTCGTGTCCTCTTTACGGATGAGAGTCGGTTCAGTACCAGAAGCGATTCTCAACGCGTTTTGATTTGGAGAGAGATCGGGACACGGTTTTATACCGGTAACATCAAGGAAAGACACCATTACGGTGGTCCTGGAGCTCTTGTCTGGGGAGGCATTATGCTGAACGGGCGAACTGAGCTCCTCATTTTCGATAGAGGGTCTGTAATCGGGGATCGCTATTGTGAGGAGGTACTTCTTCCCCATGTGCGTCTGTTTCGAGGTGCCATTGGCCCAGACTTCATTTTTATGGATGACAATGCACGGCCACATCGGACTCTTGCTGTTGAGGAGCTGCTAGAAAGTGAAGATATCACTCGAATGGATTGGCCAGCGTACTCCCCAGATTTAAATCTCATCGAACATGTGTGGGATGCTTTGGGGAAATGTATTGCAGCACGCTTACATCATCCGGAGAACACCCAACAACTCAAATAGATGCTGATTGAAGAATGGGCACTCCTACCGCGAGAAATATTGCACCAGCTGGTTCTGAGTATGCGGAAACGGTGCGAAGCAACCATTGCAGTGAGGGGAGGGCATATACCATATTAAGGAACATCTGCTTGTTGTTCTTCCTGTTGGATAGACCATCATGAGTCACGATACTATGCGTTCAATAAAGCTTGTTTTTGTTTGATTCCATACCGTATGCATTGTATTCCTTTTTCAGCGCCGATGCTTTCGTCATCCTTTACGTATATAATACTCTCCCTCATTTCTGAATTTCATGTCTCTCAGAGGGTTTTTCGTGAAGTTATGGCAATAAACCCACCTGTTGCTTAAGTTTTGCACACCAGTATATATATATATATATATATATATATATATATATATATATATATATATATATATATATACTAGCGGTCCCGACAGACGTTGTCCTGAACACATCTCTTAAATTCGAAAATTTCAAACTTTTTGAATAAGTCATAATAGTTTGGACCGTTTTGATGAAATTTTATATAAAGAAAGTTATTACAATACCTGACATCATCACATGTACAGTTACCATAATTCGACCTATTGGATTGCGTGTGAGTATGTGTTTACTATGAACTAAGTTGAATACAGAAGCTATTCTGAATAGAAACTTAAACTTGTTTAAATTAAAGAGTAAAAAAGATAAAACTCGAGCTATTTTTATAACAGGCATATTTTTTTAATGCCCAAAAAATAAATTTATCGTAATGCCATTGAATGTACAATATTTTTGGTTAATACTTGAGGGGTATAAACAAACAAATGCAATGGTTTGCCAACCCTCGGACACACAACGTATAATTGGCCGTGCGAAAAGCAAGGATTTTCTAAATCTAAGTCACAAATTGTCGTTGTTTGACCTTGTTACTTATTAATGGTCACAGCAAATATCAAGGGAATTGGAAATTGTAAACATTTGAATGGGTAGGTGAGTCTGAAAGAATCATTGGGATTTGTGGTAGAAGTACAACTTCACCTTGAAATTTGCCTCTAAAAATAGTAGCCTCAAGAATATTACCCATGATTTTTTTTATGAATAATTGCGTGCCCTTACATAATTTTGGCGCATTTTTAACTAAATGCGATATCAGACAGAATTTTGAATCTAAACTATTCTCGAATCCACTTGAACCCCCACAAAAAATGTCATCAAAATCGGTCGAGCCGTTTAGGAGGAGTTCAGTCACATACACGCGCACAGAAGAATTATATACAATAAAGATATATAGGGAGAATGTGAACTAACAATCAAGGATCTGAATTTACATACTTTAGGAGATAAAAAAAAGAGAAGATCCGTTTGTGTTTTTATGTAGAGAATAATAAATATACATTTTTTCAGTACGCTAATTAGACAAGAGATCTATTGCAGTGTTTCTTCACTGAAATTGGTTCTTATATTTTTTCAATGGTTAAAATTCAGTGGTTAAGTAGTTAAATGTACATAGATACCAAAATTTATTTTTGAATTATCATAAGATTCGAAGGTAGATTTATTAAAGAGAAGTAAAACGCTTTCAATAAGCATAAATTGTTCTACATGCATTTGACAAATAAATGTAAAATAAAAATCAAAAAATTCTAAATGATGTTAATTTTGACATTCGAAAATTCCTGATCAATATTTGAGAAAAAGAAAATAAAGCCTAAAGTTAAATCTCAAGCTGTTTTAATATAAAAAGCATTTTAAAGAGATATCTTTTTTTATTATTATTTATAGGGAGAGAGCCTTCAGTTGCTTAAATAATAATTCTTATTGACCATTTGACCAGTTAATAGAAATTCATTATACACAATATCACGACAATCAAAGGAGACAATCAAAATTACCTTGATTTTGAACGGCTATGACTCTGTCTTTATCTTTCCAACGTCATTCCCTCTTGATTGTTGAGCTATTTGAATATCAAAAGCATTACAAAAAGAAAATGTAATGCATGCTCTTTGTCCGATTACACTCGACTGGAAAATCAACGAGAAGTAAAAATTCTTCTCTTATTAAAAATAAATTTATTTGCAGACGATATATTTTAAAAAAAAGCATTCTGGATAGTTTTTAATCGCAGTAATAACTTCATATCGTTATAACAATAAAATTAAATCACAAAATTACTGTTACGTTAGTTGTCTCGTTACAAATATATTTTTGATCAATATATATGTATACTCATTAATCATATGTTTTTTTGCCATAAGTCTGATTTAAAGCTACACTGTAAACTGAAGAATAGTAAGACACAGTATAAGTCAAAAGTAAATTCTATCGCTTTGTGACGAATCTGTACGGAACCTTTCCACTAATCTTCTTAGGCGTCTTTCTGGGGAATATATAAATTCGCGTTTATTTCCAATCAACTCCAAAAAGAAAGTATGGGATATTTAAATTAGATAAGGTATTTAAGTCGAGAGTTGCGAGATAGCATGAGAGATGATGGTAGGCTATTGAGTCAGTAACGTTAAACGCATAACTAGAAGATTCAAAGAGATTAGATTCGTGAAGACGTCGTGCTGCTAGACGTACCAGAAAGCTGATATAAGCCAGTGGTAAATATAATTCACGTACGCTTAAAGTAAGCGTCAGTTTGAGCTACTAAGTTAAAGTTAATGACAGTTAAGAATTCGAATACGTGTGATTCTCGGATCTCCTATTTCGGTAAACCTTACTTGAGTTTGAGCTAGATTATTAATTAATTGTATTCTTAATAATTTAATTTAATATAAAGGCAAATCCCTTTAAGCGACGTAACATTATTGTATTATATGTTATCAGAGATTTTTGACGAAATTATAACAAAAATAAATAATATTATTATTCAAAATGGCTCTTGGTGGTTCTTTGCCTCAAATTAATCTTGGGGTTCAAGGTGTGACCCAGGGGGGTCATCACAGTGGCACCCAACGAGTAAATCCCGAGTTTAGAGTCGGATCTAATTTTCGAATCATCCCTGAGCAGTATTTTTCGGGGGTGGAGAATATGGGTGGAATTCTTGGAAAATATGGATAATAACTTAACATATTACGAGATACCCACACAACTCACTTGGGCATATTTAAAGGGTCATCTCACAGGACGTGCACTAGATTGGTTTGAGGTTCTAGGTTATAGGGTTGTTGAAGACAAGGCGACGGATTATGCGCACTTAAAGCAAGCGTTGTCAGAACAGTTCCCCGTGGTTAGAAATAAGTCGGAGCTAGAAACGCGTTTCTATTCATCATCTCAAAAGCATAACCAAAAACCGTCGGATTTTGTGTATGATTTGTTGAAGATTCACAAAATCTTAAAACTCGAAATGACGGAGGAAAAATTGATCGATCATATTATTAGTAGTTTAGAACCTCAGATTTTGGATTATGTAGAGGCTAGGAATCCGCAAACCACATCTAACCTCCTACAAATTATTGATATGTATGAGGAACGGTTTCTAAATAGAAAGATCAGAGGTTCGAGTTGGGAATCCCGAGATATACAACCAAACAAGAACAATCGTTTCCCTAACAGGAATCGACAAGAAAATTG